AAAAAAAAAAATTTAATAAAACAAATAATTGTTGAGAACTGATTATGGAGAACTGCTTATCAAAGTTTGCATTCTTGTCAGGCCCCGCCCCCCCATGGTGTCCCGCTTTACCAATGTTAAAATCTGGTCACCTTAGTGTTGAAGCGAGTGGACTGTGACTCAAGTAGAAATGCATATGAGGGAATTCTTACTGCACTCACACAATTTTTCTCCAGAATGAGTTTTCTAATGTCTAAAGAGCTGTGAACCTTGAGTGAAGGCTCTGCAACGTTCCTTACATTCAAAGGGTTTTCCTCCACTATGAATTCTCCCGTGATCCATAAGGGATGAGGTCCAGCTGAAGGCCTTTCCACATTCATTGCATTCATGGAACTTTTCTCTTGTGTGCATACTCTGATGCTGAGTGAGATGAGTCATCTGGCTAAATGTTTTCATACAGTCTTTACATTTATAGGGCTTCTCATTCATGTGAATTCTCTCATGCTTTGTCAGGTGTGCCCTCTGACTAAAGGTTTTACTACATTCCTTAAATTTACAGGCTCTTTCTCCTGTTGGGATTCACTGATGTTGAATGAATTAACTGATGACTGAAGTAGTTCCCCCACTCATGACACTGGCAGCATCTCTCTTCCTTAAGAAATCTTCTTATGGACAATAGGGTATGTATTGTTGCAGGGAGTTTTTCCATATTCTTTATAATTCTTTATATGTGTTTGTCTTTGAGCACTCTGTCATGTTGGAATGTTTCTTCTTTAATACTCTTCCTTTGAGATAACTTCTTGTTCCCTCACATTGTTATGCTCTCTAAAAATAAATGTAAAAACATGAATACACAGCTGATCCTTGAACAACAGAGGATTAAACTGCATTGATCCACTTATAATGTGGATTTTTTTCAATCAAAATTATATCTAATGTGCTTCCCTCTCTTGCCTCCCCTTCCACATCCTCCATCTTTTCCACCTCTGCCATCCAAGATAACAAGACCAACAGCTCTTTCTCAGCTTCAAAGATGAAACTTTTGTGATAATCCACTCCATTTAAGGAGTTTTTCATTTTCATGATTTTTTTTTTTTTTGAGACAGAGTCTCATTCTGCCCTATTGGGTAGAGTGTCATGGTCAGCATAGCTCACAGCAACCCCAAACTCTTGGATTTATGCAATCTGCTTTGCCTCAGTCTCCCGAGTGGCCGGACTATAGGTACCAGTCACAATGCCCACTAGTTTTTTCTGTTTTTATTAGAGACAGGTTCTTGCTCTTTCTCTGGCTGGTCTTGAACTCAGCTCAAGCGATCCACCCACACTGGCCTCCAGAGTTCTAGGATTACAGACATGAGCCACCGTGCCCAGCCTCATGATTTTCTTAACATTTTCTTTACTCTAGCTGACTTTATTCTAAGAATATAGCATACGAGGTCTAAGAATTAAGTTCATTAACTCATCCTAGAAAAAGTACTATACCTCATTGCTGAATATCACTACTGTCACCTCCAATGTACTTACCTTGGGAAGCAATGCACAGATGCCAGCACCTAGTCCACTCTTCGAAGCAATTCTGTAACTCTTTTGCAGTTGAGTGAGAACCCCCACCCATCCTTGTTGTTTCCCCTTAGTATTTTCCATCCGCTGACCCTACCATAGCTGTCTTAGCTGTGAATCACCATTTTTGCATCCAGAATGGGCTTGGTCTTATACTGGGGTCCCTTTTCCTCTTCACAATAGTTCCTGAATAAAATGTGGCTTTATCATTTTAACTTCTGTCTAGTTCTGGTTTTCTTTAACGGGGTGAGTTCTGCGGGGGCCGAGTATACACGCTGGTGGTTGCTCAAAAATGCCTTAGAGAATTCACACAACTATAGTCTTCTGAGCGGTTGGACTCGGCAGGAACTCACAAGCTGCCGCAATGGCCTCAGGGGCAATGAAGTCCACGCTAGAAACGTCCTTTGCGCCAACCCCATTAAGTCCCAGAGCCTGTGAGCCTCCACTCAGAAATGCCAGGGTTCCCGGGCCCCACCCTGGAATCCTGCAACCGGCTAAGGCCGGTCTCTGTCCTAGCGGGATGAACCACTGGGGGTCCTGGGCCCGCACCGCTGCCTAGAGCCGCAGAAGCGGCAACCTAGCCTGTAGGAGGCGCCGAGTGTCTGAGGAACTCTAGGAAGGCTGTTCCACAGTGCGTCAGGGGATGGCCGCGGTTGCTACGGGAAGTGCAGCTCACCCCGCGCGTATTTCCTGAGGAATTCTCGGAAGGCAGGTCCAGGCTGTGATCAGGAGTGGCCAGGAATGGCCGCGGTGGTCTCTGGGAAGTGCAGTCTGAGGACACTCCAGCCACTCTCGGGTGCGACCTTCACTTCTGCCTGGCCCTCTCTGACTGCTAGGAACCAGGCCTTACTTGGTGTTTCTGGGCATTTGGTACGTGGCTTGGTACCCACGTGGCCCATGTGAAGTGTGTAACGTGAAGTGGGTTGCCTGGGCTGTGTGGAGAGGAGTGGGTGCTTGAGTGAACAGCTGGGTAGGCATACTCTGCCAGCGGATGGTGACTGGAATGTGACACTGATGCTTTGCGATTTGTGGTTTGGTACGCTAAGTTTCTGTCTTAGAACGTGTGACTGTGGTTATGTGTGAAAGTTGGTATGACTCAATCTTCCATCTGTGTGTGTTGTTCAGAAACTGTGTAGGCTTATGCTAATACATATCTACATATGCAAAAATGTGATGATATAAATTTGGGTTTATGTTTGGTTGCCTGTGGAATTGTGAAAATTTCTTTAGGGTTTACTTTCCCCATCTATAATTAGAATAGTAGCTGCATGTTTCTTATTACCCTAAAGTTTTGCAACAAAGAAAATTGACAAGATTTGGCTAGTGGAAAACTTAAAACAGTATTTTTAGATTAAAAAAACTAAGATTATGGAGAAAAATTCAAAATGAGCCTAAAATGTTAAAATATGAAGATTGGGTGGCGCCTGTGGCTCAGTGAGTAGGGCATCAGCCCCATATACCGAGGGTGGTGGGTTTGAACTTGGCCAAACTGTAACAAAAAAATAGCCAGGCACTGTGGCAGGCACCTGAGGCTGAGGCAGAGAATCGCCTAAGCCCAAGAGCTGGAGGTTGCTGTGAGCTGTGATGTCACATCACTCTACCAAGGGCAACAAAGTGAGACTCTATCTCTCTATATATGTGAAGATAGTTTTTTCTTTTTTTTTTAAGTTTATTAAGGCATGGCCTGCCTTAGTTCTGTGTTGTCCAGTCATTCATTTCCTTCTGCTGAAAGGAAGATGTCTGTAGAAAAATTCCAGAAGCCTTGAACTGTATAATTGGCTTTCCCCAACCTGAAGCATTGGTTTAGAATACACATGGCTTGCTATGCCCACTTGCTGACTAAGCATACTATCCCTGAGAAGGTTCTAACGCAGCACAGTTTGTCCTTGAGCCAGACCCAGAACCCAGAGTTCCCATCCCTTGTTTTAGTTTTCCTTCAAGTTTATGTTTTCTGTGATGTCATAAAGCAAATGTCATGTATCTCTGATATTGTTCTAAGGAATTTACCACCTTGATTACATCTATAATATATTGGGACAAAAGAAAAAAAGGGGGTGAGGACGGGTGCAGTGGCTCACACCTGTAATCTTAAGGTGACCAGACATCCCACTTTTGGTGGGCCAGTCCTGATTTTTATGACTTTGTCCTGCATCCCGTGGCATTTTTTAAAAAGTCCCGATTTTTGGAAAGAATTCACGACAAGCTAGGGAATGGCAGGAGAACAGGAAGGGAATAGACGGTTTTCAGCTGCCATGTGGCTATTTCACCAGGATATAAGTTTTATATTATTTTTGTTAATTTTATAATGTTAAACTTTAATAATAACAAATAATTGTTCAGAACTGATTATCGAGAACTGCTTATCAAAGTTCACATTTGTTTATCATTTGTTAGAATTCGACCACCATTGTTTGGACTTAATGAACAATGGCATTTTGGCATTGGCATTGACCAAAACATTTTGTAACTATCTCTCAGATGATACAATGTGTGCTAGTGCTAGTTAAACAAGTGATGTCAACAAATCAGCTATTCAGATAATTTAGGTAAGTAATTTATCTATCTCATGAATTTAGCAGACAGTACTTGTATTATTTATATTTTATAGTGGCAGCAAAAAGTCTAGCGCTGGCCTTGAAAGTGACACGGGGTATCATTATTAAAAAAAATATTGATAAGGAAAAGGTTAAATCTTGGGCATCAGCAAAAATCACAATAGAGAACAAATGGTTAGAAATATTTCATCATTTTGAAAAAAACCATGTTCTATACAATAATGCACTAAAGATTGTGGGATACACGCTGTCCTTACCAGGAACTAATGCTGTGACTGAATGCGTTTTTTCTATGGTAAATAAAGTGTGGACATCAGAAAAATCACAATTAAGTGTTGAGACTTTGAAAGCCATTTTATGTGTGAAATATAATTTAACAAATTCTTGTGAAAATTTTCATGACCTTTTAAACAACAATAGCAATCTACTAAAAAAAATTCACTCAAATGAGAAATATGCCAAATACTATACATAATTTTTAATGTATTATATTTGTAAATTGTACTTATGTTGAAATTAAAAAATATATATTACAATACTATTTTTGCGTTCTATGAAAATTTTTGTTGCTCCATTTAATTTTTAATTAAGAACACCCCCTCGTGGCCCCCCGTCAATGGTGCCCCACTTTACCAATGTTAAAATCTGGTCACCTTAGTAATCCTGATACTTTGGAAGGCCAAGGTGGGTGGATTGTTTGAGCTCACGGGTTCAAGACCAGCCTGGGCAAAAGCAAGACCCTGTATCTACTAAAAATAGAAAAACTGAGGCAAGAAGATAGCTTGAGCCTAAGAGATAGAGGTTGCTGTGAGCTATGATGCCATCGCACTCTACCCAGGGTGATAGCTTAAGACTGTCTCAAAAAAAGGGGGTTAAGGTGAGGATGTTTTTTTGCAGTCACTGTGTTTGGTGGAAGGAGATCTCTGTGTCACACAACTTACCTGGCAAATACCAACTCAACCACTCACATTCTAGCTGTATGTTTTTCAACTTTTCTATCTGTTTAATTTTTCTTCTATAAAGAGTAAAACCTAACTGCAGAGTTATTTTGAGGAATGATTACTGGTACTAAAAGAAGAGGTAAGTTAGGTATAAAGATATTGAATTTCACACTTTGAGAATCACAAGCCCAGGGAGATAGCAATTCTGTTGGCCTAAGTGACAGAAGGGGCAAAAGATAGTAAGACTTTTTACTGCGTATCATTTTTACATGAAGTTTTTGAATCGTGAGTTTATACTGTTTATTCAAAATAATAAAGTTTTGAACACAATGGCAAGTATTTGTGAAAAAACCCAGTTTTAAAATAAGTAATAAAATAGAACAATTGATAAGTACTAATAGAACAATATTTAGAAAAAAAAAATTCCTTGGGCTGAAAAAAGGTGTGAGGCTATCTCATATCCTGCTTAAGATCCTAAATTCCAGGGATAGAAAAAAACTTGCTAACTGCTCATACAGAAGCAGTTTTTTGCTATGGGAGGAAAAATTATGGGTCTCCAAAGAAGTGCATGTCCTAATCTCAGGAACCTGCCTATGAATATGTGTTAGCAGAAACAGCTTGCTATATAAAAAATATTTTCTGGAGGATATGTGCAGAGATGCACAGTCTCCTGGCCACCAGAGACATCTCTTCTGGTAAGTCCACATGTTTTCTTAGAAACAGGATGTCTAAGCTTTCTTGGCCTTTGTGAGGAGGCTGCTCACCAAGGAACATGATTGTATTATGTTTTATATATGTAACTAAAAAAAGTGACGAGTTGAAAACAAACGGATGGGCAAAATATAACCAATAACAAAGATAAATCAAGGCTGGGCACAGTGGCTCATGCCTGTAATCCTAGCACTCTGGGAGGCCGAGGCAGGTGGATTGTTTGAGCTCAGGAATTCAAGACTAGTGTGAGCAAGAGAGAGACCCTGTCTCTAAAAAATAGCTGGGCTGCTTGGTGCCTGTTGCTCAGTGAGTAGGGCGCCAGCCACATACACCAAGGCTGGCAGGTTTGAGGCCAGCCTGGGCCTGCTAAGCAACAATGACAACTGCAGCCAAAACAGCCGGGCGTTGCAGCAGGCGCCTGAAGTCCCAGCTACATGGAAGGCTGGGGCAAAAGAATCGCTTAAGCCCAAGAGTTTGAGGCTGTGAGCTATGACGCCATAACACTCTACCAAGGGTGACATAGCAAGACTCTGTCTCAATAAAAAAAAGAAAAAAATAGCGGGTGGTGCCTGTGGCTCAGTGGGTAGGGCACCGGCCCCATATACCAAGGGTGGCAGGTTTAAACCTGGCCCCAACCAAACTGAAACAACAACAACAACAACAAAAAATAGCCAGGTGGGCACCTGTGGTCCCAGCTACTCAGGAAGCTGAGGCAAGTGAATCGCCTAAGCCCAGGAGTTGGAAGTTGCTGTGAGCTGTGATGTCACAGCTCTCTACTGAGGGCGACAAAGTAAAACTCTTTTTGTCTCAAAAAAAAAAAAAAGTTGGCTTTGTTGGCAGGCATCTATAGTTCTAGCTACTGCAGAGCCTGAGGTAAGAGAATTGCTTAAGCCCAGGAGTTTGAAGTTGCTGTGAGCTATGATACCACTACACTCTACTGAGGGCAACAAAGTGAGACTGTCTCAAGAAACCCAAAGAAGCTAAAGATAAATCATTACCATAATTAGTATTAAGTGTTGAAATAAGGTACCAAAAACAATTGCCCTGAGCTAGAAGGCTCGGTGCCTGTGGTTCAAATGGCTAAGGTGCCAGCCACATACACCTGAGCTGGGAGGTTCGAATCCAGCCCAGGCCCACCAAACAACAATGATGGCTGCAACCAAAAAATAGCCAGGTGTTGTGGCGGGCACCTGTAGTCCCAGCTACTTGG